ATTCATCAACAGATTCAATTTTGCGTTTCTGTCAGCTGGACATTTCGTAAAAAACATGCATACAGTTTTAACATAACTTATTTGAAGACGCCAAAGTTTACAATATTCACATAGTTTATTGCAAAAAGGTTGAAGCATTTTCTCTCCCTGTACAGATATTTTGGTACATAGATTTATTGAAATTCTCTTTACGATTTACGATAAATGCATAAAGAGGAAAAAATATAATAATGTTCTTCTTATTTGTATATATACAGTATTGTTTTTACTCACATATACGTCAGAATCGCTTACTCAACATTGGAGGGAAATCACATTTCGAAAGTCATTGGAAAGGTTGCTTTTTTAAACGATAATCAGCGATATTCACAGCCATATATCTCAAAAATTAAAAGGGGTCCTTTTCTAAAAAATAGATCAGTATCGTGTACAACTCGTGCACTTTAAACTAGTATAAAAATTGGGAATGGATCTTCTATAATTAATGTAATTTTAGTTCACGAAGTTGGTGCAATACGAAATAAATTTACAGTGACCACTCTCCTTCTTGAATATATAAAATTTATTCTTTTCGTATTTTATTCTTTAATCGGATAAATAGAAAAATTTCTCTTATAGGAAATTCTAATTAGTGTCAGAGTAAGATAAACTGTAAAAGAAAAGTATATGTGTGCCGCGACAACGGATTTATTTCAATGATATTTCGATGTATTATCGGCTTCTTTTGATTATTCTTAAACTGTAGACTATTCATTTTCTCTGAAAAGAATGAATTTTAACATGTTATTGGCTTGAGTTGAAGATCTTTTGAGTTCTGTTTTGGTGGAATGTATTCACTGATTTTGCCCTTATTTGACTGCATTTTTTATTTAGTAATTCTTTACATTGATTAGGGAACATGTCAAAATTTAAATTATAATTTATGTTATTTTGTACAATTTCGGTTCCTTTGGTTGTATTGTAAATACATACATCGGCATATATATACTCCAATGTGTTCGTCTTTTTAACAGACATTTTTCTGTTTGAAGATTAAAATCAAAAAGGGACAAACTTTATATTTTCATCAAATGTTCATCTTTTATATCTTCAAGGAGGAGAGTACCCACTGTAAACTTATTTCGTACTGCACCAACTTCGCGAACTAAAATTACATTAATTATACAAGACCCATTCCCATTTTTTATACTAGTTGTACACAAATTGTACAAGAAACTGATCTATATTTTAGAAAAGGATCCCTTTTAGTCTTTCAGAAATATAGCTGTGAATATCGTTTAAAAAAGAAAGTTTTTTCAGTCAAGCTGACCTAGGCTTTATGCCAGAAGTTATTAATAGGGAAATGAATGTACGAGAAGGTGCTACCGTTATTCAATCCAGAGAAGAAGAATCAATTGATTCTCCGCGGCTTGTTGGTCTCACAACAAAAGAACCATCACTTGTTAACACGTCGTTTGATTCACCGGATGCCAAAAATACACAGCCTAAATGTTTGCCCCGGATGTCATTATCTCCTAAATTTCGGCTTGTTTGGCTATGTACAGGTGATAACTACCAGTTATTAGATGAACTAAACACTATTTTCGGAAATTCGTTTGCAACTTTTTCAAATGTCGACATATGCGGAACATATATCGCATTAATGAACAATTTTCGGCTTGTATTGATCGTTAGCGGAAGCTTTGGTCGAGAGCTCGTGCCAATAATTCACGATTTATCTCAGTTGGAGGCAATTCATGTTTATTGCCTCGATAAATCTGGGAACAAGAAATGGACGAAAAATTATCAAAATGTAATCAAGTAGATCAGTAAATCATTCTCTTTTGGTAGAAAATTACCTGTATGAGATGTATATCAGACTTAACTATTGCCTTATCCTAAAGCAACCGACAACTTTATATTAGTTTACGGGTTCTGTTCAACTTGTTGTTTTCAATGCAAGGCCTTTTCTTCCGTTCTAAAATGCTTACAATGTTTTTATACAAAACTGCTGACTTCACAAAATCCACTTACCTTCACGAAGGGTTCATTATTTGAAAGAATGATTTCTTCAGAACATTCTATATCCATGAAACTGTCAAGCTCTATATATGTCTATCCATTTTTACACGTTGTTAAACACCCGGCGATGACAAAACTTTACCGGTATACCGTAACTGGTATTATCGTTATCGTTCTTTATCGTTAACGAAATTAGCCGATAACGACAAAGTACAATAAATACTGTACGATAAATACTGTTCACCGTTAAATTTCGATAATAGTAATTATTGTTAAAACGAGTTTTATGGTTTAATACTGGAAATGGTGTATATTTCAAATAAGTTTCTTAAGTGACACTATTTAAGGCTAAGGCTAAAACGGAACAGAAATATTGAAATATGCGGGCGTTATTGATTTATACACAGCTTATTACTGAATTATTTTATTACCAGAAACTATGTATCGGTAAAAGCCGATAAGAATAATTATCACTAATGAAGTTTACCGGTGAACGATATGTATCGTTATTGTTGCATTCCTACTCGTTGTGTGGGGGTTACCCAAATTCGAACAAACCGTGAGACATTTATGTAGAAAAAACAATATCTGAGTGCAAAGTAGTTTACGTCTAAAAACTATCTTATACACCTATCTTTATGTGCCGTATCTAGTGAAAAACAGTTGAGAGAACATGATATCTCAGTGTATATTGACTGTTCTTAGAATGCATTATGCGGATATTGTAGGTGATAAGTGTGATTACAGAACCAGACGAATTAGTTCAAGTTCTACGTGACGAATATGAAAGTACAAATGGAAATAAAACATATGATGACTCTCTGTCAATCAATCATGGTCAGCTGTTAATCGATCACGGCGAATACAATGCTACACAGACTGGCTAACACATTAACACACAGGATGCTGACGTGTATTGTATGAGCTGGTCTAGCTCAAACATATGTTTTTAGTAACTCAGCCGGAAATTTCAATTTGAAGAGGCAAAGGGATTATATATAGCACGATGGTGGTTAAGTCTTTGAATGCCTGTCCCATAGATGATTAACGTCCCAACCCAGTGGAGGCGGATATATCATCTAGTTTTTTCAGTGAACTTTAATTAGACGCTTCGCACTTGACCCGGCTTGGCTTTATCTGCTACACCAGTCATACATTAAGAGATTCACAGCAGCTTTAAATGTATTCTTCATTGTTTAAAATACAGTTAGCATTTCGAGCTGTACACACTTCGTTTTCAAGACAAAAAGATGTTACAGTGAAAGATGTTACACAAATAGCCTAAAAACCTGCTTTTTGCATTACTGGGAAATTGCCCAAATTTCAACAGTAAAATTAAATCTTCTCCTCACATTCAAAACGGTGTCATTCAATACTTTCAAGTTTGAAATTATAAACATTTTACAGATTCATTCCAAGACTTGGTCCAAAGCTTATATCCACATTGTTCGATAGAACTCATCGAGGCGAAGAGTAACTGATACGTTACGGGGAGTTGTTGGGTTAGCCATTAGGATTGTGTTTTAATATTAATTCGTTTTAGGAAAAATAAGCAATTTAAATTTAATGATAGTTTTAGATTGTTTATTTGCGTGTTATTCTATGTTGTATTTTTAATATTAATTTGATTGGGTGGTTGAATAGTTGAATGACTTTATGATATGTTGAGTAAAATTCTAAGTGCTTTATATTTTATGTTATTATAACTTTTGTATTATTAGTGAGTTTGTTTTATTTTAATTACTCTTTTGTTTTAGCTGTATTCGTGATTTTTATGTCTTTAAATTATTTGTATTTTATGAAGAGTATTCAACCATGTCTAAATTGGAAGTAGGATCTTGATCTTTAGTTTTTCTTGTTTTAGTATTATTGCTTTTTATTGTGTATGATTACACAAATAATTGGTTTAGCGTATTGATTCAGTTTATTAGTTTGATTGGTATATTAATAGTGAATGGGATCTTCTGAGGACTCAAAAGCCATTAATATGGTATCAAAGCATATGCATTCTGAAAGTAGACACTTCAGAATTTTTGTATGTGCTTATCTCAAAATCCGAGAATCGTCATTTCTGAGGGGAGGAAGCCCTTAAGAGTTTTAACACTCCTAATATCAATACGTACTAACTTTGTTGGGTTCTTCTCTTTATTATTAATTCGAAAAGCATTGTCAATATCAGGATAAGCCAATTGCATCTCATTTAACAGTTCGTCAATATTTTTGCTTAATGAGACATCATGCAACACTAACGAAAATTGTGAAGGAAGCCGACGAGGTAACGTTTTCTTAAAATTCAGACCACCAAGAGTCACCGGCTAGTTTTCTTCATCGAACAAGCAGATGAATGATTCACGGTTTTAACGAAAAATATCATTTCTCGACGATAATTAGTTTTAATACTTTCAAACTTCAGTTTAATGTTATGCTTATCCGCATAATGCAGACATAACTCATCTTTAATTTTATCCACTGGAGAATGCCCATCTAGTACTACTATAAATGGGGGAAACGCATATCTTGTCTCAGCATAACGAACAGCATTGCTACATATATCATCATCTTTGTCTTGACTATAGTGAATACCCGTATTAACTTGTAATGTCGATCGTTCTACATCCGACCTAGGTAAGTTAGAACGACATTTACTTGCTGAGGATTCAGACATGTCTGCATACCCTGACTTAATTGATTTGTTACTGTAGCATGTGGTTGTCGAGTTGATTGCTGCATCCAGGGACGATGCCAAGCATTTGTTTGTCAGTGATTAACATTAGACATGGTTTGATTGTGATAACCCAAATGAAAATGATTTGAAGTAAGAAACTGTTTTTGGTGAAACTGAGGGTACACCAAAAGCGGTGGTGAACCACTTACAAAAGAAGCATCACTCTGATCTACATTATGTGCATTATTATTATAAAACATCATTGAATCATTTCCATAGGCCAGATTAAGAGCATTATCCACCATTTCCGATGTTACGGGCAGTCGGAGACCCAACATTTACCGACAAAAATGTGAGGGCACGCGTTAAAAAACGTGCATCTTAAAAAGTAGACGATAGAAAATATAAATTTACTATATGTATACGCTGTAGATGTACATATATATACCTATAGCAGTACTTCTTAACTGTACAAAGTTGACGAGGACAATGAGAACATTATTATTACATAAATGTTGTTGTATTCAATAGTGCCATGAAGGCATATAATAGTTCAATTTATAGTCCATGAAACAATGTAACAGTCAAACCGTCAGATCCATTATTTTATGCATGAGTATTGTTTCTCTGCAAAAGCTTTTCCATTAAACAGTTAAACTCTACGATGAAGTATATAAAATGACTTCGTTAAAATTAAACCGTTATTGATTCAGGTTTAGAAAAACGAACTAGTCCATACTGATACGTATCAACGTATCACTATGCCATGTATCAATTTCTTACATTATCTTAATTAATTACCTTAATATTGATTAGTATACAGTTGATAGAAAAAAATGAATAGTTATGAAATGAGTAGAATGATAGAAAATATAAACGGGACGAAACGAGGGCTAATTAATAAATACGGGTCGAAACCAGAGGATACTCATAAAAGAATATTCACAAACAGAAAACACACACACAGAGTACATTTTTCGTGTAGCTGAAATTCTATCGGTATAGGTTATGTAAAAACGTAGAAGATATTTCGTTTTGAATTAAGAGATTTTTCATTTAATTTAATTCATCTGATAAAATGGAATAAAGGAGATACAATTTTTTATTTTACTACTGCAAGAACGGTGGTTAGTCGGCCAGACTGGTACTAGAAATTTAGATATTTATGATAGCAAGGAAAAATATTTACAATCGCATATTTATAATAATTCGAAAATATAAAGTAGTGAAATTCTAACTATTGCTTTGTTAGGTGAAACCCACCTTGCTTTACTAACAACTGCTCATGTTTGTATGCACGCATTAACATCATCTGCACTATCGTCTTCAATATCACGAACGGGTAGTCGTTTTTGTAACATTTTATGAACTTTTTGATTGTATAACTTTAGTTTTTGTAATTTTAAATATTTGCTTTTTTTCCTTCTTTTTCTGAAAAATAAAATGTTACTTTAGTACGTTACAAAGACACCAGTTACGCGACAGCTTCAGCAAAGCTCAAAGACGAAAACTAATCAAATGTTTTTAGAATAAATCGTCGACGCTTGCAATAATTACTGCTGTTAGTTACAAAACAGTATGAACTCCGTTTGTCGTTGAATAATTTTTGATGAGAATGAGATATAGATACAGCGATTCCTCGGTTTTTAAAGTGGATACCAAGTAATATTGATCTACGAAAGAATTGGTTTCCGAAAAAAGGTTTACTACACGATAAAAAAAGTTCAAGTCCAATATTCCTAATATTACAAGAAAGTCAGGTTAAAAATCATTTACACTAGAGTATCTCCTCTACTTATTGACACACGGCCTCCAGTCTCCATCTGTTATGGTATCGAAGAAGTAACGGTGCATTTTCAGGCAATGTTTTTCTCGTTGCGTTTTATTGTTATTAATAAAAGTAAAAGAATGTTAACAGTAACGATATATATTTTATTATCTGAAACTGTTTTAGAGTTTGAATCATACAGCTTCATTACGTTATTTTTGAAAGTTTTCTTCAGTTTACTGTACTTCTAAAAAACTTCAGAAGGTATTTACTTTATATGGTTGGATAGAGCATTGATTACTGTATCGAACTGTATAGCTTTCATCTGATTTATTTCGCATCTTGGCCAAAAGATTGATAAATTTTGAAA